AATGTTAATTATGGCAGAGACAGGCAGGAGAACAACAGCGTCCAGGTCCAAACAAAGGCAGGAAATGAAAATAAAAGAATTAAAGCAGGAACAAAAGGTCAGATCCACACGCAGCTAATTTATTCTCGATTCATCTTAAATTTTCACAATTCACTCTCGCTTTTATTCATTAGGAGTGGTGATTAACTGCCGAGTTAATTACTGCCTCATTGTTCTGGGGCTCGAGGAATAAAAAAAGAAAAAAAGATGGAGCGGAGGAGTGAAGGGAAGGATTTGAGAGAGAAGGAGAAATGAATGTTTTAAAAAGGTAATAACATTAATGATGGGAGAGATTTAAGGTGGAATTACTGAACATAAACATGAAACATTTGGCAGAATAAAAAGCCAATCACTGCTGTTTCAAACGATACGATTGAAACGATTGACTCCACTGTACTTTTAATTGTTTCCTCTACATCAGGGGTGTCAAACATAGGGACCGCGGACCAAAACCGGCCCGCATAGGGTTTCAATCCGGCCCGCTTGATGATTTTTTAAAATAAAAAAAAAATGCACAAACACTTCATGTTCAGGAAATGTTTAGCAAAATTACATTTTCACTGAATATGAAAGTTTATTTAATGTATTTTTTTCATGAAAACAAAGTGGAAAAAGACAGACTTTTTTATTATTTATAGCTAATTATGTTATGACTCTACTGGTCCTGAACCAAAGTTTGACATCCCTGCTCTAGATGTATTCTTCATTTCTTCACCCCCCGACGTCCTCACCCCCCTCCCACTTCTCCTTCTGGTCATGATTCTTTTCCTCCTCTTCCTCTCTCTCCTTCTTTTTTCTCACCCTTCCACCCCATTTTTTTTGGCCTTCTTCTGCAACTTCTCCTACTTTAACAATGTCCTCCACCTCTCTCTCCTCCTCCGTCATCTTCTCATCTCTTCCCCCTGAACTACATTTGTTACCCTTCATCGTCTTGTTGCGCTCGTTCACCTCATTTTCATTCCTGCAGTTCCTCCTCCACTATCTTTCCTTGTCCAATCCTCCGACGCTGCCTTCTCCTGCAGCTTTCACTCTCTCTCTCTCTCTCTCTCTCCCCCCTCTCCCCCCCCTCCCCCCCCTCCCCCCCCTCCCCCCCCCCCCCGCTCCTATATCTCGTTCTCTTCATTGCCTACGTACCTATCACTCCTTCTCAGCCTCCACCTCCTCCTTTCTCCACCTTTCCGTACGTCGCTCCTCGTCTTCCTGTCCCACCTCCTTCTTTTTCCCTCTCCTTTTACATCCTTCACTCACTCCCCCCCCCTCCCCCCCCCCCCCGCTCCTATATCTCGTTCTCTTCATTGCCTACGTACCTATCACTCCTTCTCAGCCTCCACCTCCTCCTTTCTCCTCCTTTCCGTACGTCGCTCCTCGTCTTCCTGTCCCACCTCCTTCTTTTTCCCTCTCCTTTTACATCCTTCACTCTCACTCCCCCGTCCTCCCCCGAC